AGACAAAACTTCAACACCAAACAGCAATTTTCGCTGCAATATGGTGACTGAGTGTCTAATCGGCCGACCAAAATTCAGTTCGTGGGAAAACCCAAAATAGGAAAACCTATTATCCACTGATGAGAAAATATTTGGTTTGATTTTCTATGCTTTTCCATCCATAGACGCGTTTCGACCTATCAGGTCTCATCAGTATGGCTAGGAAAAGCAAAGAAAACCAAACCAAGTTTCGTGCCTGTAGGCAATATATACATAGCCATACTGATGAGACCTGATAGGTCGAAACGCGTCTATGGATGGAAAAGCATAGAAAATCAAACCAAATATTTTCTCATCAGTGGATAATAGGTTTTCCTATTTTGGGTTTTCCCACGAACTGAATTTTGGTCGGCCGATTAGACACTCAGTCGCCATATTGCAGCGAAAATTGCTGCTTGGTGTTGAAGTTGTGTCTTAGATGGCGCCACGATCAAATTTCGACCGTTGTACTATGTATATATTGCCTACAGGCACGAAACTTGGTTTGGTTTTCTTTGCTTTTCCTAGCCATACTGATGAGACCTGATAGGTCGAAACGCGTCTATGGATGGCAAAGCATAGAAAATCAAACCAAATATTTTCTCATCAGTGGATAATAGGTTTTCCTATTTTGGGTTTTCCCACGAACTGAATTTTGGTCGGCCGATTAGACACTCAGTCGCCATATTGCAGCGAAAATTGCTGCTTGGTGTTGAAGTTTTGTCTTAGATGGCGCCACGATCAAATTTCGACTTTTGTACTATGTATATATTGCCTACAGGCACGAAACTTGGTTTGGTTTTCTTTGCTTTTCCTAGCCATACTGATGAGACCTGATAGGTCGAAACGCGTCTATGGATGGAAAAGCATAGAAAATCAAACCAAATATTTTCTCATTTAGTATAATATTACTGTGTTTGATTGCGCAGTCGCATTAGCGCGGTTACGGACGATAATATTACAGTAATATTATTGCAGGTTGGAACAAACCTATTAGTTTGCTCTTGATCTGAATCAACTCCAAAAATATTGTTCTGCACTTGCCACTCAGATCGCAGAGTGCGCCATAGGACAGTATAGTAGAATACTCTTTAAAAAGAAAAAACAAGGACAAGAAAACGAAAACTGGTAGGAACATACATATTTTTCAACCGTATCAAGCCCGTGTCTGCTGCTCCGTAAATACAGAAAGAATGATATATGGATCGATTATCAACTGAACCCTGAACCCACTCGATAGAGCTACGTTCGATAACTTGTTGGTTCCCGAATGCGCGCGCCCTTCGATTACATATGCCTATTCTTATATGTTCACCATTCAACGTCAACATCAGAAGGAGTAGGAGTAGCAGACTAACCAATCAGAAGGATCAGAAGACATTCAAGCAACCGGCATGAGTGTATTCGTGTCTTTTTCTACCAGCTTGTATAAAAAAGAGATAAAAATACATTTTTTTTTTGCACTGATTTTGCCAAAGGAATTCGCTATTATCTATGCAACCAGCAACGACCAACAACGGCCACGTTTTTGAATGTTTTTAAACATTTAGGTTACGTTCTATTCTAGTGTAGTACAACACCTACTTACTTAATTTATTTTATATTTTCATTATTTTGAAAAAGGAAAAAAAATAAAATGTCCAAGAACAAAAAAACGCAGGAGATCGTGGAGAAGCACATGGAGACAATCACCATTCCTCCAATACCAGGCCTTGCAGGAAGCATCAAGGAACTGGTTACCAAGATGATAGATCATCCAGCCTACAACAATCCAAAAAAACTGTTTTTCTACAAACGTCACTAAAAGTGTCATTCTTAACGGATGCTGTCAGTGTCTAGAATGCCATTTTATGACACTAGTGTTAAAAATGATTACTTTTAGCACTAGTGCTAAAAGTAATCACTTTTAGTGCGTTTGTAGAAAAAATAGTGTATGATATTCGTGCTAAAACTGATTCTATTTTGTTCAAAGGGATGGGGAACACTCCGCCTTCCGCGTCGTGTCCCAAACTTCCCTTTTCACAAAATAAAATGTCACTTTTAGCACTTATATCATATTTTTTTTAATTTGCAATCATATATGTAATCTTGTCATTACTGACTTTTTAAAAAATTGGAAGTGACACTTTACCTGTGTCACTTCCCTCTTCGATTTCCCTCACCGATTTCCCTATTCGACTTCCCTCACCGATTTTCCTCACTCTAATTTATTTACCTTTGCTGGCAACAATGAAAACATGTCAGGTAAAAACGTCAAAGCAGCGAATGACACATTTTGACATGTTTGTTTTATTTTTTTAATTTAAAAAAAAATTGATTGACTAATCATAATTAATGGTGTGCTTGCAAATAAAATAGTATACAAACCTCGGAGGGAAGTTTTCATTTCTGTCTCGAGATTATTAGTCAATCTCGACGCTTAATGAAACACTTCCCTAGTCGGTATGTAATATACTATTTTTCCCCCAAATTAGAATGGTACAAATTTTCTATACCCTAATCCAACACCTTTCTAAAACCAAAATAAACAATTCTAAATGATGCTAACTTACAGCCCAATAAAAAACCACATAACTCGTGCCTATTATCTATTACTCGTGGGTAATGGCTATTACTCGGATGATTACACTACTCGCCTGCGGCTCGTAGTGCAAACTTCATCCTTCGTGAGTAATAGCCATCATTACCCGCTCGTTAAATAATATACTATTAATTAATTTGAGTTAATAAGGGGTCAATGCTAATTTGTCTCATTATTTTTCAGTTTTATTGATATAGCCTAAGAAATTTATGTGTTTTTCAAAAAAATTTGCGAGGGCAGGCTGATTTTTTCAGGGCTGATTGGAGACTGTGTCCTGAGTATTGAGCCAAAAAATCACACTCGAAAGCCTTGTGCGTTCGGCCCTGTTGGCCTTTTTCTTATTTATTTTTTCTCGACAAAATGACCTTAACAAAACTTGTAATAATAATAATAAGATTTTGATCAACTTTGCCTCATGTCGTTTTTTGCTAGCTATATTAGTTTAGGCGTTGCGGCCATTTTAGTGCTCCAGAATTCGCGAAAAAATTAAATAGCAAACCTGCAGATTATTGTAACTTTAATAAAATTACTGGTGATGTACTCCATTATGTTTTCGGTTTCAGTCCAAGAAATGATACATTACATCACTAATCCGCTGAAATTATTTTCCCGGAGTGAAAGCGTGAAATCAAAATGATGTTTTTTTTTTTGACAATACTGGGACCTGTTACCTGTTCAAAAAGTGACAAAATGTTTTTTTTTTCTACAATCGGCCTAGAAAGTAGACTTTGTCGATTAGATTTGTGCTCGCAAAGTAGACGTTTCCTGATGACCTTCACTTTGCCGCTTTAGAGCGTCAAACTACGTCAAAATCCTTCACTTTGTCGCTCTAGAGCGGCAGAGTAGTAAAAGCGCTTGCTTTTACTACTGGTTTCTTTGAACCTGAACTATTTTTTATCAAATGCGATTGTAAAAAAAATCAAGTGTGCATTTGCCAATATCTTTCGATCGGCAAAATACCACTTTGCGCTCTTAATACACAAATAGCTATGGTGCAACCGTCCGCGAAATTCAATTTCGCGAAACGCCACATTTTACCTGCAAAATCTATCAAATCCTTAGAAACGCTATGTATGCCACAATGTCCACCAGGTCAAATAAAATTTTTCAAATGCCCAAAAGGCCGTACAAGCGAAAGAAATAAAGTTACAATAAAATATCATCAAGCAAAGTAATAGAGAATTTTATTAGGTATAATAATCTGCAGGTCTGCTATTTAATTTTTTTACGAATCCTGAAGCACTAAAATGGCCACAGCGCCTAAAGTAAAATAGCTAGCAAAAAAAGTCTTGAAGCAAAGTTGATCAGAATGTAATTATCTACAAGTTTTGTAAAGGTCATTTTGTCGAAAAAAAAATAAATAAGAAAAAGGCGAATAGGGCCGAACGCACAAGGCTTTCGAGTGTGATTTTTTGGCTCAATACTCAGGACACACTCCCCAATCGGCCCTGGAAAAATCAGCCTGCCCTCGCAAATTTTTTTGCGGCCCAAGTATAAATTTCTTGGGCTAATACTGATTTGAAATATTGGAGATTCAATTTTAGATTATTTGACTACAATCAAATTTACTGTTTTTGTATTTTTAAGTCCTTGTAAATTTCGGGTCTATTTTTCGCAGATCATTACATCCTGAACATAATAATATGCTTCACTAATCAAGGTTAACGCTAACCATATCATCGAGCAAATTTTGCTGGCCTAAAATCCTCAATTCTGTTGAAAAAAAAATAAAAATTCTAAAAAAAGTTTCTCCAATATTTAAAAGATGTTCGCCCACTTAACAAGCCTTAACCTGTTCCTCGCATAACATGATATAAGCATCAGTTAGTTTTTTACTGTCGCACGGTGTAACGTTTCCAAATGGGCTCTCATTTTCCCTCGTATTATTGCTCTCACAAAAATAAAAATAAATGCGAGCGTGAGGATAAATTGCAAGGACTACGAGGCGGTTAAGGTTTAATCAATACCGCGATAATTCATCTATATTTCGTTTCGTCATTTTCACCTTTTCTGAATCGGGAATAAACAGCTGGACCTTCTTTCTGCTTTTGTTGATTATTAATGAGAAATGATTTGCTGACTAGGAGAAGATTTGTGCTTTGGTTGGTTGAACAGACTTTTTATTCATAAAAGGTAACAATAGGATAAAAATTACAGGGGGCAGTTCAAAAATAGCTATGTTTGGGGGATTCCATTTGAAAAAACAAACTTGATTCTGGGCAGCTTTTTTTGGGACATCCTGTATCTACCTATATTAAAAAATTCGAACAAAATTGACGTATCGGAGTGTTTTTATTTGAATTCTAATGCATAAAAAAATAATACATTTTTGCGGGACTTTAAGAACTCACATTCTTGAATTTTCCAATTTCTAGGTAATATCGGATCTATGATTTCTAACATGAACGTAGCTCGGGTAGATTTTCAAAACAGGATGGACGGAGTTAAGCAGTACATGGCTTTTAGGAAAGTTGGAAGAGAATTGGAAGCTCGAGTTATACGGTAAGTGATTTTTGCAGTGGTAGAGCGATAGATTTGCTTTCATATAACATTAAAAACTCCTAAATTCCTAATTCCTACTAACTTCATCAATTTACTGATCTGCAATATAAGTTCATAAAGAAATCCTTATTTGTTTTGCATAGCTGATATGTATATGAGACACATTCATTTGTCGATTACTATAATAACGGGATACCTGAGCAAAACTATGTGAATGTAAATATTTTGGATAGAAATTACTACAGAAATCGAAATTAAATTGAAATTCGTAACGTCACAAGCGATATGACTATAAGTTTTCGACTTTAAAGTAGGTATCACAAACTTTTAAAATTATACCATCTCTTTTACTAGGTGGTTTGCATATACTTGGCAAGAAAGCGGAGCCCTGGACGAGGAAAGGGTCCTCTCGGCGCTTCCGGACAAACTGAAAGCAGAAATCGCTATTCGGGTTCATTTAGATACTTTGAGGAAAGTTCGGATATTCCAGGATTGCGAACCGGGACTTCTGGAGGCTCTGGTTCTTAAACTCCGGTTACAGGTAATATTTAGTTAGGAATAATAGCTCCATTAGGAAAAGTCTTTGTGGACTGTATTAATGCAGCAACCTTCAAAATTTAGAAAAAAAAGATGTTAGGAATAATTTTATGAAGGAACAAAATAGTAATGTCGAAAGCCGAAAGTCAAAATAAGAAGCAGTTAAAATCACGTGTGACTTTCTTTGATATAAAATGATTTTAATGAGGGCCGATAAGCATTATTTTGATCAGATTGAGTTGTTTATTTGGAGTAATCATTGCGTAATTTACAAGAGATAGTACTAGACTGCGATGGTCTGGTAAAAACTGGTCCAGAGTCGAAGTACAAAAATTTCCATCACCCTGTGTTGGCGAACGCTGATTTTTTTTTTGTTTCTGGGTGGTGACATAAAAATGTATTCTCGGATAGAAACAACTGTGGGTGTAGAATTCTCATAGACTTCATTGAGAAGAAATGACAGGTGTCGGTCTTATAATTATCTTTGATTAAGGGCCGACATGTCAATATTACCCTAAAATCAAGACTTACCTAAGGTACCCTTAACGTTAACTTGAAATCAGTTCATTCAGGTGGCTTAAGATCCACCTCGAACTGAAGGAACTTCGATATACGGTAAAACTTATATTAAGAATGACTTAACGTTATTCTGTACCTTGAAATACCGGCCCTTAGCTAGTCTAAATTTAAATGAAATGGAAAAATATTAACCCTTTTCTTGTTAATAATTAAAAGTTTGTATGCCTTATCATGTAACTCTAAAATTCTCTTTCGTTCGTTTTTTGCCTCGCAGAGCGGACGGATTTTTGGTCGCATGATCGCAGATTAATCTGAGCGAATTGCTATTAATGAGCGGACTTGAAGTCGAGTTCTCGAAACCTTCTTTGAATGTTGTTTTTTGTATTTTGTTTATGTTTTGAAACTTTTTGCCATTTGGTAATTTCACTAATGGACCAAAGTTTTTTTTTTAATTTCTACGATGTCGATTTGTAAGATAATTTGTCTAGTGTTACGGGAAACCTTATTGTCTTCTTTTCTTCTTCTTATTTTAAAACTCAATCTCAGGCATTATTCAAAAAAAGAGAGATCGTTCCAATAAATACCAAAACAATCGTAAAAGCAGTAAAATACAATCTCACAGTCCCAGATTAATCTGATGAATCCGTCAAAAGCAAGAATTTACGTCTGATTTATCCAGATGGAACGGCTTTGATTTAGGTACGTCTCCTCTAAAGGAAATGAGCCTCGAAATGAACGAACGATTAAGATGATAAGGATTGTTCTGGTGTGAATAACAAACGCAACTATTATTCTCGAATCTTTTTTATACACTCGTACACCTAATTACTTGAACGATTTTTCAATACTCCCAAATTGTAGCTACTTTGCGTAATTATCAAGGGCGTCGCTAAGTGGTTTGTTAAGTGGGTATCATCATATAGGCTCGTGCATGATTTATTGATCCTTTTAGAAAATTTTCGGCTCCTTTGGAATATTAATTGTTGAAAGCACTTAAAAAAAAAGGTCCATGAACTTTTGCTTTATTCACATTCCAATGTATTAGTCAATATAAGGTATCGGCTTTAATAATTTCTGGATATCGATGTTCAAATAATTTTTAATTGAAGTTTCTGGTTGTGCTGTTTAAGTGATGATCTCTCCCGGGATGGTTGTTTAGTAATAAAATTTTGACTTGATTTTCTCTGCCTTTCAATCCATCGACGCGTTTCGACCTATCAGGTCTCATCAGCATGGCTAGGAAAAGCAAAGAAAACCAAACCAAGTTTTGTGCCTGTAGGCAAAATACAAATAGTACAACGGTCGAAATTTGATTGTGGCGCCATCCAAGACAAAGATTCAACACTAAACAGCAATTTTTGCTTGGTTTGGTTTTCTTTGCTTTTCCTAGCCATGCTGATGAGACCTGATAGGTAGAAACGCGTCTATGGATGGAAAGGCAGAGAAAATCAAGCCAAAATTTTCTCATCAGTAGATAATAGGTTTTCCTATTCTGGGTTTTCCCACGAACTGAATTTTGGTCGGCCGATTAGATAGTCAATCACTAAATTACAGCAAAAATTGCTGTTTAGTGTTGAATCTTTGTCTTAGATGGCGCCACGATCAAATTTCGACCTTTGTACTGTTGTTTAGTAAGTCCTTGTTATTCTTGATTAATTTTCGGTAGTTGGATCCTAGGTTGTTTAGAATAATTAGAACCTTTAACTGTTTTCTTGGTGGTTTATTTCCACGTCACTTCAATACCGATTAATTCCATTGCCCTAATCTCATATCTTTTTATCGTTCTTTACAAATGAATTGTTTTTACCAAGCCTTTTTAAATCACATTTTTCCCCGTTTATCGATTTTATGTTGGTCCTAATTTTTCATTTTAAAATGCAGGGGCACTTGGCGCTCTAAATCCTTCGCCTACAATCCTCTTTCTCTATGTTACCTAGGTGATGTTACATGCGAGACAAATGTTTGAGCTTATTTTCCTGTAGCTAGTCGCATGTGCCCTATTTATTGGGATTTTTTGGACTCTCGAGATGTTGTATTGTTTGACTAATGGCTTCGGGTTTCATGACCTTTCGACACCTTAAATAACGGCCCCCTTTCCTATATCGTTTACTTGTTCCTGCCTTCTTTATAAGAGTAAGGATTTGTTGTTTACGTGGATTTTGATGGTCAGATTGAGTTACTCGGTGTTCAATTTTGTTGTAATTTTTTAATTTTAGGTTACACTTTTTCTGAAACTTGACCAATCTAGTAAATGCCTCTTTATATTTTTTGGCAAACTCTTTTCTACCCTGATCCAGGTTGGACATATTGACAAAAATATTACCATGATTAGACATTTTCTCGAACTACTACAAATTTCCTTACGAAATGGTGCGGTTTTTGATTGTGAGTTTTGTTCAATAAGAGTCACAAAAATAGGAATAACGTGCACCTGAGAGCCTGTGACAATCTTTAATTTTATATTATGTCCATCGACGTCCTTCGACTTTGCCGGCAACTCATGTCCATGCGTTTTCTTATTAACTAAGGGCGGTTATTATAGAACTATTTTGACAGAAAAATAAGAGTTAACTTCTGGAATTTCATAGTAATTCCAGCACTTAACATCTAGTTTTCTATCGAAATAGTTTTATAGTACCCACCCTTATTATGATAGGTAATGTTACTATAGGTACCTACCCTTCTGCACTGCAACTGAGTTTTCATCAAACATCTCCAGCAGAAATATGATATACCTTTTCTGAATGTCCTTATCTTTAAGAATTGTTGTATCTTCTGCCAAAAGCAGGGCACGTTCGTCCTTATGTTTAACCACAGCTTCCAATCAAATTACTTATCTTTTTCATCTTCTATATTTCCATAATTTGAACTTAAGCTGTCAGTTTGAGCTTTGAAACTTTTTTTCTCTCTCTCAGGCCTGTCTGACACCCCCATGTAGCACTGAAGCTTGAGAACGTTGGCTTATTGTGCTTAACCTGTTTGCTTTATTTCAATCACTCACTCCAGTATTTTGTTGCCCTGCTGTACAGGTCTTTTACTGGGTGGTGTTTGTTGTTTTTGTTTCCGGGACTGTGTTTGGTTACCCGGAAATTTTGCGTCTTCTGCGATCCAGTGCCCCGCAGTTTACCAGGATGTGTCTGGCTGTCTCAGGTTCCTTATTGCACAGTCTGCAGTAAAGGTCTGCGTCATGCAGGTTCTTCCTGTTCAGGTGGACCTTTACTGGTGCGTGGTCTGTCATAAAATCCATTTAAGCCGGCTACAGACGGTCCGGCAGGCCTGTCAGTTTCAACTGAACAGTTCGCCTGAAGGCCGGTTGCCGGATGGACTGATGACCCTACAAATGTTCAGGCGTATCTGATTCTTCAGTCTCAATCGTCACGACCTCTACTGACGACGACGAGTTATAAGCACTTTTTGGTTTAGTACTAGTATACATATTTGTGAGAACAGTAACGTCCGTACAAGAATGATTAATTTCCTCCCATTTTTCTACCAGTTTCTTGCCATGGTCGTGGAAGTTTTTCGATTCGGCTTGCCGCAGGCACGACTCGCCATGATAAATAGCGATAAATTCCGCCAAACACCTGTTTTCTATTCCGCGTGACATGGCGTAAGCTCACTACTCACTACTGAAACTATGTGAAATGATAGCCCAACGGTCCGACAGGCGGACAGTGCCATACACACGTTCCGACTTGCCTTTGGGTACGTGAGGCCGGCCGGATGAACGAACATATTTTTGATTTTTCTCCGGCCATCTGAACAGTCTTAACTGACAGATCGACCGGAATATATACACGCTCAAGCGACCGGCCTTCAGTCGGACTGTTCAATTCGATCTGACAGGCCTGCCGGACCGTGTGTAGCCGGCTTTAATCGGCCTACTCATTTGTAGCAGTTCCGCGGCCCTTTTTCTGTTTGGTTAGTCGATGAACTTTCTGTCATGATTCTGCCTGGAAGTTGTCCAGTAGTGTCGATGTTCTTTACGAGCTGAGTCTTGAATGGTCATACTTTTTGGTATCCCTAAAACCGGCTCTCGCCCGATAAGTGAGTTCGTCAGCTTTTTCGTTGCCTTCGATTCCTCTGTCTTCTGGCACTCAGACACGTTTTACCTTATTTTGGTCCGCCAATGCCCTGAGTTTGTCCTGGCATTCCCATACTATTCTTGATGACACTGTCTGGCTCGAAAGGGCTTTCAGTGCATCTTGACTGTCGGACATTATAAGAAACTGCCTGTTGGCTACGGCTCTCCTGTTATTATCTGCTGCGCACTGGAATATAGCATAGACATGTGCCAGAAAAACAGAGGCCTACTCCCCTAGTATATAGTGATCACCGTAGCTGGCAGAGTACATGGGCGCCCACAGGGAAGGTCAGGGGGGGTCACTTGACCCCCCCTGGAAATCTCTAAAATTTCAATTATTTTCCTTGATGAAAATATTTGAATTTCTGATATTAGTTGAACTATGATCGCGGGCCGACTTTGCGACTTTTTTTTTGATAAAATAGAAAACGTGAATGTATATCGAAACAGGAAAATGGAACGGAACGTACCCTAGCCATCAACGACACTGCACCATATAAACATGTGGTTCAGGGTCCTTATTCTTGAAACCGGGGAGCTGCGTTCCCAGAAGAACGAGTGTTCCGTCTTTGTTATATTATTAGTTGCATATCATTGAGAAAGACGGAACACTCGTTCTCCTGGGAACGCTGCTCCCCTGTTTCAAGAATAAGGGCCGGGGTCGTATTTTCGAATATTCTCGCATACGAAATTTGATACGATTTTTTTTATTTTTATTTAATTCACATTGCTGTTGGCTGTCATAGTCAAATTTCGTGTACTCGGATAAATTCGAAAATACGACCCCAGGCTCACAGATCACCTACTTACAAATGCGTATAAGTAAGGGACCTTGGCGTCGATTAAAAAGCTACGAAACCTTGCTCCTCCCTATAGGCGACTGGCCGCTTATTGAATAGTACGGGGCAGTGTTGCCGCGAGACAAACCAATTTTGTACTGAAGTCTGGCGATGATTTGTACTAAATTACCTAAAAGTGTACTAAATATCTAACCTAACAATTTTAACACAGATTTTAAGCATTTTTGCGAGTGACGTAACGAATTTTTTTTTTTGTAATTTCTGATTTGTGACATCGTTCATTGGATTGATTAAACGATAATACATACAATACCCAAAGTTGTTTGAGAGAGGTAGGTTGCCTGGGCTGGAACTCTGTAACGGATAGATATCGTTATTCCTATCGCTATGGCACTTGTTATCTTCTTCTCTCTGTTCGAAGTCAATAGAGAAGGGGCGTCAATAGAGATAGAGAAAATATCTCTATGCTTTATAGAGTCAGCCCTGATACATTTATGACGTCATCTGGAGTGCCTCAACATAATGCAATTCTCCATAAGGGCCGGTATTATAAAGCCCGGTTGACTGAAGGTTGAATTTCAACCGACGGTTGAATTGAAATGTCCGTAAAAAAAACCTCAATGGTATAAAATCATACGAAAATGTCAATTCGATCGCTGATTGAAACTCAACCTTCGGTCAACCAGGCTTTATAATACCAGCCCTAAGGCACCTCAGATGCGTCTTGAAGTAACTATTACTAGACAACCTATTAACTTTAGGAACCTTGTATACAATACCAGTGTTTTCGCACTCTACATCTTTTGCTAAAAGCATATAAAATATAAGGATAGAGACAGGTACATTTTTTTGCACTGATTCTGTAAATGGAATAGAGTGTACTGATTCTAGTACAAATGTACTAAAAACGGCATCACTGGTACGGGGGTCCGCGTCACAGCTCCCCTATATACAGATGCGAAAGAGCGGTCAATTCGTGGTTCAATGTTATATGTAAACACAACAGGCTGGAACACGCTCACGCACTATAAATTATCGGCCGCGTTAGCGGCAAGGGAGCCGGCTACCTTGGTTTCGTAGGTTTGAATCTTTGACGGCAAGGATACTTACTTACGCATCTGTATTTAGGTGATCTGTACCAGGGTGTCAATTAATTTGAAAAGTAGCAATCGCCGCAATTGGGAATATCTCTTAGACAAAAAATACTATCAAGATCTCAAATACGTATCGGGGGAATTGGGGGCTTGAACAGGAAACCAAAATGAGGCACTTTTTGAGCCACCCCGTTTCGTACCCCTTAGGGGGTAGCTACCCTTATTTTTTTTTCAATACGAACCTACCTTGTGCTGCATATCGTTGGATTATATCAAAATCTAAATCGTACGATTAGGCGGGGTGACTCAAAAAGTGCCTCATTTTGATTCCCCCTCCGATCCCCCGATAGATATGTATTTGGAATCTTCCTGAGTATTTTTTGTTTAAGAGATATTCCTGAATGCTACTTTTCAAATTGTCCCCCTGTATACCTAAGTATCTCCGAATTGGTGATTTTGACCCCCCCTGCATATTTTTCTGCGGGCGCCCATGGCAGAGTATACCCCGGCCCCGGTATCAGCCGCAGTTTTGGACCCGTCCGTATACCAGGTTTGGTCCTGCATTTCGGTCTCCGGTATGCCCTGTTCCCATTCAGTTCTGCTTGGGAAGCTGACGTCGAATATTCTGTTGGGGGCGTTGAGGCAGTGTCGCATTGGCATGTCTTCATATTAGATATATCTTTTTCCAAAAGTTCTGCGATTGTTCAGTTTATTCTTCTATCTTCAGTTTCTTCTAGTTTTATTATTAAACATCCTTAAATATATTTCTGACTTTCTGAGTGAACCATAAATGAAAACTTTACCTTGAAATACTAGGAAACCAGCCGAGGCATTAAATCTGCTTTTCTGCCATGTAAAACATATAATTTTTTCTCCGAATGTTCAAATTCACATATGGACATCTTTTTTGTATTTATTTCATTCATTATTATTATCCAAATAATTAAATTATTTTGACAATTGTCATTGTCACCATCAATTTCAAATACCAAATTGAGTGAAATTATTACCTGGAACGTTGTGACACTGTCACTTTTAATGCCTAGGCAGTAAAAGTCCACTTTTACTGCCTAGGCAGTAAAAATACAACTTTTGGTCCTGTCAAGTGTCATTAAAAGGACGCTTTTACTGTCATTCGGAGAAAAATAGTATTTTTTTTATATTGAGATTAAAATTCTTCAAGATATTTTTCTTATTCTATAGGTTTTTTCACCAGGAGACTATATTTGCAGAAAAGGTGACGTCGGCAAGGAAATGTACATAGTCAAAAGAGGTCGTTTACAAGTTGTAGCAGACGACGGCTATACAGTTCTAGCCACTCTAGGCGCGGGAAGTGTTTTTGGAGAGGTACGTACAAAACTAATCCTTTGCATTCGCAAATATTTATCAGTGGATATTTTCCAGGTCAGCGTTCTAGACATCGTCGGCAATCGAACTGGCAACAGACGCACAGCAAACGTGAGATCCCTGGGGTATTCGGATTTATTTTGTTTAGCTAAGGACGACCTTCTAGTCGCCTTAGCCGATTATCCAGAGGTAGGGGCCTGGGTTTTATTTAAATATTCCCTTTTTGTTAGTTGCGAACATCAGCTTATATCCAGCTTGCAAATATTCTCTTAAAAATTAGTATTTAGGCACTTTTACAAAAAAGGCTTTGCCAAGCATCAGCCTTTTGAGCGCAATATTTAATTTATTATACCAAAATTAAAGTTGCCCGTTCATCATTAATTAAAGTTTTTATATAGCTACGTACTTTAACTCATTTAATACAAGCGGGACTGCTTTCGAAGTTCTATTATATTGACTGTGGAATTGTTCATTTTATGTTTTTAAGAGTTCCACTAATTGAAGACATACAGAAAAAGACTTTTAACAAATACCTATGTACTATATCTAATGATAAATCTATAGAGGAACGATCACTGGCGACAAAGTTTACTCGTATCATGCGAATAGTGCGAATACTTCAGAATAATCACGCTAATGTACATCACTAATATAAATTTTAGAAAACAGTCCACATTTTTATCTAATAGACCTTGTTCAATACCTACTTCAATAGTATAGTAAAATAAACAAAGTCTTCTAGATTTTCTTTATTTCGATATACTTACTGTCACTGTCTATTCTGGAATATGTAGTTGCAAATAAATCAGCATATTGTTTAAGCTATAACATTCGATGACTGCAATACACGCCACTGGTTGCTCGTGTCTGCTATCAGAAAACGTTCTACGGGATTTGGCAAATGCAGAAATTGAAATGGTTTTCTCGATTTTCAAACAGCCGACAGATGTTTGTGGTCAAAGTGGAAAATCGATTTCGGAAGTGAAATAAACTGGACAACGGTTTGAATAATCATTAACCTGGCCAATTTCTAGTTTCGAGGAATCTTAACTAACTGTTTAATGATCTAATTTGTGTTGTGGTGTGGCACATATTTTTCTTAATAACTTTAGGCAAACTGCAACATTTGTGGTTTAGATTTAATATTTGTTTTTTTTTTTGGCTAACTTTACCTTAAACTAACCCAACTGTCCCAACGTCCCAGTGTAAAGAGTCGTTATAAAAACATTATCATTTTTACGATTATAAGTACCTATCTGCATATCTGAGTTAACATTAACAATAATAGGTAACACTTTTTCTCTTAAATCACTTCACAATCATTATAATAGCCAGCCACTTCAACTAAGCACAATAACTTACTCACTTTTGAAATGTCTACTTCGTTGTGAAATAAACTATCCTATCTCAATATGACTCGAAAGAGTTTTTTAGAATTGTTCCGAATAGAAATCCCCCTAATCCTATACATTCTGTTTTATGGAGAATTTTTACGCCTGCCTTTATTTTTAACATTGTCCTTTCTTTGAACGTGATCCTCCCGATAAGAAGTTCTATTTTTATGGTGTGCTTAAAGTCTGACCAAATAAACCACTTTCATCTTGCATTTAGGATGAACCCGCCAGTGGAGCATACAAAATTTAAGCTACTCTTTATTGGTAGCTATGTTAGTTGATTAAAAATCACATAATGAGGATAATTAATTATAAATAAAATAGTATAGAGTTTGGAAAAAAATGAAACGTGTTCCATTGCTGCCTCAGATAAACCTAGGTGTGTAATATACTTAGATATACTATTTTCATTGGTAAAATTCTATCATAAAATTTTGCATTTTTTTTTCTTAATTTTCCTGCAAAAAAAACTTAGAAAGATTTGCCAGTAGACCCATTTTCTTTTGCCAGTTTGACATTTTTTTTTTATGCCAGTGAAATTTATTTCTGCAGTGAAATACACCCCTCTCCAATGAAATTTAAAAGTCCTCTTTTAGTTCTTTTACTGTTAAGACCTTTAATAGTTTGTTTCATTTGAGATTTACTTGCTTCAATATTTGTTTGAATCAATTTTGAAAAATGACTAGACCATGTTGTCATCATCAATTATTTTTGTTAATTTAATTTATTTTGACTCTAATTTATGTATACTTTGTAGTATAATTGTCATATTTATGTGATAGTATGCCGTGTTATGTTGACTAATTATATAGGTAGTTCCTAGGAAAATAGGAAGCACGGGATTTTCCGGTGTTGTTATATCATGTATGCTGCGTGGGCGGTTCCCATAAGGATGATGAAGAGAATGAAATTCATTCTGGTTAATCTGAAACATGATACTATCGCTTTACATTCTGTTTACTAAAATGTGGTTGTGTTTTATTGTCATAACGTGGGCTTATCTTATCTCTGTTGAACTGTTTAACAAAGATAGGTTCTTGTAGGTCTGGTTCTGGTTCTCAATTTATATTACGTTTTTCTAACGATTTGTTTTGTTTTGACAATATTTTATTTTGTATTTCAGTATTCAATATTGCTAAATATTCCGCTAGATTTGTAATATAATCTGTCATCAATTTTTTGGGCGATAGTTCGATCGACATTGCGTAATTTAGGTCTCCTTTGTTATAGTTCAATATAGCAATTGTCATTAAATCAACTATACTTTTATGGGGATTCTGTAATTTTAAACTTGTGATACTTTCCCTCAATGTCGAATGAAGTCTTTCTATAGGACTATTCGAGTTTGGGTTTCTGGGGGTTACATAATGGAATTCTATATTATACAATGTACATAAATCTGTAATGATGGAGTTTTTAAACTCTGTTCCATTATCTGAAGTTATCTTTTTAGGGATTCGCTGGTCACTAAAGTATTTTAATAACTGTGACGTAATTTCCAGAAGTAATACAGTGACCGCCAAAAAGTTTGCAACAGATGGGAAATTTTTTTATTACGAAGATATCAAAGAGAATGTTACAGGGGATCGATTCAGCATACCCATCAACAAAAAAAAGCTCTTTGACAGATGTCATGTGACCACAGTTATGGCGGGAAATTTAAAAAGTTCGCCTTAAATTGTAACGCTCTTTTGTCGAAACAAAAGAATGTTCATAATCTGTGCTCGACTATTGCTCAGTGGTTATTTAGCATGGGGTGGTCCTTGGTGTTGGTACAGTAGAGAGAGGGCGCCACTAGTTTGTATAAATAATTTTGATTAACAAGGAATAGCCAAACTAGGCACTATTCCATTAATTAGTTATTGTTTAAGAAGATAAATTCAAAAAAATCTGAAAAGGTAAAATAAATCCAAAATCCAATAGCTATCTGACATTCAACCCATTCAAAAAAAACACAAGCTTTGGAATTCTAAACACAATTATTTATTCAAGTTAATTGTCATTAAAAAAAGTTTGTGACAAGGTGGCGAACTTTGTTCTATAGTCATGCCATTAAAAATTTGTGACAAGATGGCGAATTTTTTTTTTATTTAAAGAAAATTATTGTCTAGTATCCAAGTCCTTTTTTTTAAAAAAAATCATTAAGCAGCTTTCTAAAAGCAAAACCTAATTTAAATAAGTATATTAGGATTGAAATTCAAAAACAATTAATAGATACCTACGATGAAATTTTACTAAGTACAAATGATGAAGTCCTAATACCATTAACCTTCAATTTTTGACTCAAAGTCAATCAAATCAATAGAACACAATTTATTCAATTCAGAAAGGTAATAAATAATCCTTAGGTAGTTATAAATAACAAAAACCTGCTACATGAAATCAAGGCTTCACGGTTTCCGGAAGAGCTCTTACCTTCTTACCTTTAAAGTTCAAATAGGTAACCATAAAACTTAAATTTGACTACCTAAAGATTTTACATTAGTAACCCTTGTAAAACTACCACATTATTGATTTGAAATCAGAAGGTCAGATTTACCTCTAAAAGTTAATGAATCATAGATATATTAGATCGGTTAGTATTCGGTACAAAAGAAATAAATTTGGAATAATTATAATAATCCATAATTATTGGATACTAGATAAAAATAGTGAAAGTGATAATAAAGCTAGTTATCTGATTACGATAATGATTAATAATTAATCAATAAAAAATTACATTAAACTGTAGTTAGCTATTTTAGCCAAATACTACAATACGGTAAATAAGTCGGTAAATGATTTTATAGTTATTAATTAGCTAATTAAGCTAATCGATAGTGAGCGATAAAGAAAATATTAATAATAATTAACAGTTATTAATATTAGTAAAGATAATTATTAGCTAATAAAGCTAATCGATAGTAAGCGATAAGAAATAGATAATAATAATTAACAGTAATTAATATTATAAAGATAATAATTAGCTAATAAAGGTAATCGACAGGGAGCGGTAAAAAAGAGATAATATCAAGAAACTGTAATTAATAAGGCACATAAACGGGACCCCTAGGTAAGTAATTATACAAGCCTGGACGAAATCCGTGGAAATTTTCATGAATTTGAGATACAGAAGCACCAAACTGACGGAAGGCAATCATCCAATGGTCGGGGATCAATCTCTTACAAGACACAACTTTTCTTGTAGAGGGGGGCCCAGACTTGCTTTGGAAACGCAGTACCGCATGGTCTCAAAATCGTCAAATTTTCACCCAGAAGTGTAGGCGTGGATTTTTAATACTCTCCCAAACTGCCTGAACGGAATGAAGAAATATAAGGACTCATTTATCAAAGGGAAAAAGGGTTTACATACCTCAACGGCCAATAATAACCTCACTTTCAGAAATTTACACAAAAATCTATTGATTTTTCAGGAAACGTTCCAGCTGGCACAACTACTCACTCCTCTGGCTAGTTAAACTTATCCAATTTTGGGCTCGATGGCCAAGAATGAAAACCAAAATTTTTGGATTTCCTCAGAGACGACCTTTTCAGTCTAACTATAAAATCGAAAAAGAAAAGTCAAAAGTATCAAACTTCCTCTGTCAAGCCTGTCGAAATTATAAAAATGACAGTGCTACGGGTTTTTCTTATGAAGAACCTTAGTTCGGTTCGACGGGAGTGCGAATGGAGTCACTCCGAGTACCGGAGTGAGCAAATCGAAACCACCTTTTGATAATATAATTTTCGGTATTAGGTTAGGAAACTAGTCAGAGGAATCATAGATGTCGCTAGGTGTACGGAATAGTATTTTAA